CATACCATGATGCTGTGGAAATACTCAGGAGCCTAAGGCTGCATCTTAGCTCAGCCAGCTATTTGCTATCTTATATGGATTAAATATGATCTCTTCGAGACTCAGTTTCTTCATTGGTGCAATAGTCTACAATGGTAATTTACAGTTCTAAGCTGGTTTGGACCTTGCAAGGGAGTCATATATATCCTTACTTTGTCCAACTAAACTGAAGACTGAGGACATACCGACATATCGTCTACCATTAATAAACTTATTTATTCACAAGAATTTTTTTCCAGTTTTGCCAGTGTGGTTTCAACAATACTTCACTGAGCTTCTGCCTAAAATTCCAACACTTCAAAGATTCAGCCAGTATTAATTTATAGTGCTGATTTAGTAATATGAACACTGGGTTACTTTGAATGTTAAAAAGCTTATTTCAGCTGGGAACCATGCACTCTCATACTAGATTTATTAGTATCTGGGAAATGAAATGGTTGTACAGCTTGCTGTTTCATTTCCACTTCTTGCATTTGCTGCAACTGACTTCCCTGGGTTTTTGTTTGATAGCTCTAGTCAGCTGAAAACAACAATACTTATGTTTGAACAACAGCTTCCACTGTAATACCTGTACTTATTTTACAAAAGCACTCAGATACTTTGCCGACATTTACTGACTGATTTTGCTAGCCACAACCAAACAGGGTTTGAGTTTACTATGACGTGATTTCAGCTGGCTGAATCCACACTGCCTGTGAGGATGAGGTCCAAGTTAAAGCCAGTCCTTACCCTATACTTGCACTTCCCTGCTTTGCAAGTTGCCTGGTGTGTTGTCAGCCAAGGGCTGCAACTGAAGCCCACAACACAAGTGCTGACCTAATATGACAACATAGACAGGCTCATCAAGGCGTTAGGTCATTCCTTGTTGATTTTTACGAAAAAAAACCCAAAGCATGTAGAAATGATTTTGTCAATGTAGAATTGGTAACAGCAATGACTGATGCTCTGTGTTACTCTACAAAACATACCAATGCTTTTGTATATTCTTAGTGTTGGTTGATCCAATCTACAGTCTACACTTTTCTAGAAACTTTTATGTTTTAAGTTTCTCTCCTAGAGACTAATAATACAATTGAAAATTACAGAGAGAAGCATTTAACCAGTAACATTGCAAATTTGTCCTAGTCAGTACGAAACACCTTATACTAAATCTGCTAGATCTATTGTATATGTAAAAGGAAATTCCAGCGCATTGTAATTTCATGTATCGCGGGGTGACACCTGACCATGAACTGTGATTCATTTGTTGCTGTCCAGGGATATCTAAAATACATGTTTATTGTAATATAAGGGATAATAGACTTTATATAGTATAGTTTCCTTATTTCACAGTCAAAGTTAAAATCAATAAAAGAAATGGATGTTAGGAAAGAAAATAAATTTTTGAACAAGAGAAGGTTGCCAAAAATCTCTTAATATTCTGTTTTTCTAAGGATTGTGTAATAATGTCTGTTGCCTGCTGAGAGCTAATAAAAGTACCACTGCTGAAGTTAAGGTAAGCAGTACAACTCCTTGTTGTCTATTTTCATTTTTTCTCACTGAATAGCTAATTCTCTCACAGGATTATCCTTATTTCTTATAGACTCCATTATTAATGAAAGCATAAACTGTTGACATACTTTTGGATCACCTCGTTTGGGGCCTGACCCTTGTCCCATTAAGGCAACTGCAACATTACTATTCATATGGACAGAGGGCAGAATGAAGTCCTTATCCAGGAGGTTTTACAGATAGTATGCCATACTCCAGAAAGAAAGATCAAAAAAAGCAGATCGCCAAAGGTCACTTAAAAGGTCACCCATCTCCAGGCAAAATGGTGAAAGTATTTTAAAACTGTACTGCAAAAAAGAAGAATGAGATAGACATTTACGCCGACAGGTATAAGAAAATACAGCAAGTACTTCTACCTTTGCAACACAAGCTGTCAACACTTTTTCTTGCTTTCCTAAGTCAATTAATAACTAAATTCAGATGCTTGCTTTCTTTCTTAAGTTGGATACCTAAGATCAAGATTCTACGGTACACAGTTCATTAGTCTTGAGCAAGTTTGCATTGTACTGCAAGATTATTCTTCTCTACTTTACATGTCATTCTTTGACGCACTTTCAAAGTAGAAAACACTTCAGCAAAACTGTTGCCGTGATTGTGTGGAAATAACACTGCTCTTAATCTTATTTTGTGCCTAACTATTTTTTGTGTGTCTAGTACATAAGATTATTTCTGTACACTTAAAATACCTTTCCAGGAAAAAACATGTTAAACATTAAAAGCCACATCATCGATAAGTAAACTTCTTAAATTATATTTTTAGCATAAATTTATGACATTTTTAATTTGCAGTATTTGTTAATCTTGTAAGAAAATACACTTTAAAAGTCTCATGAAAGATACATTGAAATATAATTATTGAATATTTTAAACTGATTTTACCAACATTTAAAATGAAAGTGTTACTATAAAAAGTGAAAGAAGGTCTTTGGGAATTCCCCTGACTCTCCTCTGCAAATATCTTTTCTATAGTAGAAACTTTCAAATGCTAAAAAAACTGAAGGCCACTTCTTTCTCAAAAGTGGATGTTTTATGCTTTTCCCTTTGTCATTCATTCCATGCTATTGAAACAGGCTGAATGGGGCTTAGTACCAGTGAGTTTGAATTGCTAGACAAAAGGCAAGTCTCATCCTGTGTTTTGAATATCTACAAGAAACATACAAAGAATTATAGCTGATTATGTTTTTCTCTGTTCTTGATAATGCTCCAGTTGCTTCTGAGAGATATGTCTGGTTCCCCACCCTGGGAAGGGTAGACGGTGAATAACTGTCTTTAAGCATTCGAAAATTCATGATAGCTTCACACCATCTCTCTTTTTAGAAAAAAAACTAGTATGGTCACGCATTTTACCCTTTATTTTAAAAGCACAGGGATAGCCTTACATAATTGTGTTTAGGCTTTTCAGATCTCCAGTCTGGAATATCTAACGCAGAAGCCCACCAGCCTCCCCTGCTCTGTGTATGTGCGATCCTTCAGTTCTTCCTGGGCTCTGATTTTGCATTTCTAACGAAGCTGAGCTGACAAAGCGTGAAAGTGGTCTAAAAGCAAAAACAAAGAAAGTGACCCTGCTTTCACTGTGCCAAGACTAATCAATATTCCAGAAGCTCAGCTTTCCCCGCTCTTCTGATGCGCTTTCATTTTTTTCAGCGTTGGGCTAGCAGTCTCCTCCCCTTTCCTTAAGTTACAGGGATAGTAAATTGCTGTATGCCAGAGCACATGCAGATTGTCAGTTTTCTCTGTCTGCTGCTCGCTCAACTCTGCAGCTCTGCAGCTGTACTTGCTGGGAAACCCCTACCTTACCTGGCACTACCGTGTTCTTAGAGTACCGAAGATCTGAAAAGGTGAGCGAATTGCTTCATTTGGGGGGTTTTGAGGGTAAAGTCTGAAATTTTCACTCTCTGCCTTTGTATGTTACCTAATGTAATGATCCTTTTGGCTGTACCCATGCTGTTTCTTGATATTAATGCAAGTTATGATGGATGGATTAGCTACATTAATTACCTTGAAAAGAAAAGGCACGGTAAATTAGCATCTTTTTTTACAAAATACTAAAATTAATTGTTCTGAAAATAATCCTGCTTGCACACGGTAGTCGTGCCTAAACTAGAATACTTATGAATTTAAACATCTAGCTCAGTCTCAGAATGTTCCTGCTCTCTAAAGAAGCAAAGCATATACCATTCTCTTAAAATTCAGAGACAATATTGCACTGAAGTGGCCATCTTGAAATATATGGTAGAAGCAGCAATCAAATCCTATAAAAATAAATTTGTTAAAACATGGTATTTCCTCTAAAACATGCTGTTTAAAAACCCTGTATATTGATATTCTAAGTGCTTCCTAAAAAAGGTGTTTAGGCACTAGATTTATTAAAAGATGTTAGAGTTGGACTGTGTATAAATGGAGAGAGATTTCAGTAGAAGCAACTAACTCTATCCATTTATTAATTTCTAATTTCTTCATAAAAACATGCCAGGGTCTTAACTAAGACTTCAGAAAATGGTGTTCTTGGTCTGGAAAATATGTTTGTGCAGGCTCCACTACTAAATAAATTCACACCAAGAAGCTACAAAATAATTCACTTTAAAGTGAAAATTAATGTCCTAATGAAGGATTATTAATGTAAAACATTTTAGCGTTGATTCAAGGTGTGATTTCTTAAAATCAGATTATATCCTCATAATAGTTGTCAGGCCAAGCCAAGCATTACTTTGCAATGTGAACTGGTATTACAGTTTGAAGCAACAAGCAAAGTGGTACATAACTTCAGATGTTTTACAGATGTGCTCTGAATAGTTTATACACTTCGAAGATGAATGTTATCAACATAAAATTGTCAAAAAAAGCATGTGAAATGCAGAACATTTTAAATGTATCAGTTCAAGCAAAATATGGTTAATGTGAAAGTGAGCTAGAATTTTTTTCAGATAATATGGGCCTGCTAAATAAATGAAAAGCAAGCCTGACAGGTAGTTTTAAACATTAGACCACCTTACACTTCTACAAATTGTACTAATTTTACTGTAGTATATCTGTAGGAACTGCAAAATAAAAGTTACTCCTGGGTCTTACAGCATGACAGCAATTCAGATTAATTTCTGAAGACACAGGACACATGTCTGATCAGTCCACATAACAGTTTTTTTCAGAGTTCCTTAAAAATCATTGAGGCGATTTATCAAAAATGGCAATCAATAATTTAGCTAGTACAAATAATATAAATTTTACAGAAACATGAAGAATATTTGCTTCCTTGTAAACATATGGCTAATCATTCCTCTCAAATCTATGGCAATATTTGATATTTCTTGTCTTGCAGGTTTCTCCAGTACCTCCCACGGGAAAGAGCCTTCCACTCTTCTGAAGGGATATTCACAGAAGTTAATTGTAAAGGAAAACTTTCTGAAAGACAGATGACTAAAGGCAACGGAGAAGATCCAAAAACTGGAAGTAGGATGGAACGCATTCAACAAGGAGTCCGGAAACGTACACTGTTGGCGAAAAAAAAAGTGCAGAGCATTACAAAGGATGATGTTAAAAGTTATTTATTGAGGAATGCCTTTGTGCTCTTCACCGTTGTTGCTGTGATTCTTGGTGAGTAATTTGTTCGATAGGAATATTCCATTCTCCAGTGCATTTGACAATGACGATTTGCCTGGGTGATTTGCATTACAAATGAGGTCCCAAATTCTTCTGCACTGATAAGAATGTTCTGGCTTAGAGAGTTTTGGCTTTGACAGCTACATGTTGAAGTTTAGGGAAGAGCCATTTTAATTATTCTGGTATTCCTAAGAAGAATTTAGGTGAAAAAAAATCAGCTGTTTTATGGATTCTTCTCTTAAGAATCAGATGCAATAACTGAACTGAAGGTTTTCAATGAAATCTTTTTCTACCAAAGCCAGCTGCAGCAAAGTGCTCAGGAGGCAACTTTTATTTACTAATCTATCAAATAATAACACCTTGCAATGTCAAAGAGAAGTCCTCAATGAATGAGTGACATTTCTGAGCAAAGGTGTATATTTGAGCCTCAATCTTTTCAGTTTTCCTTTGATAAATACAAGACATTCAAAAGTAACTGCAGGCTTGTGCTTTCTCAATCAATCACAATCTTACACATGCATCTTTTGGATGCAATTGGGGCAACAATGGGAATGCTACTTATTCAAAGAACTGCAAGATAGCACCTGATTAAATGCCTTTTTAGAGTATATGGAGAGGAATCCAGAACATCAAACAGCATTTAGATTTGGAATGCACCAAAACGTACATTTAAAATATTGCTACACATGTTGAATTTACATTAGAAAGACAACCTACAGAGAAAAACATAGGATTTTTTATACAATTTTTCTTTTATATAATTACGAGATCACTTTTGGTGATTTTCCTTTAACTACAGGTTTCCTAAATGACACCATATGTTTCATGAAATACCATTCTTTATAGCACGAGCAGGAACACTACGGCTTTACTGTACTACTTTCATTTTAATTTTATGGCTAGTTTAAAATATAAAACTATGAATCTGCTCATGAAAACACGAATGTTAGCATCTAAAGATAAAGGTATATATCCTACATCTATTTACGTCCTAGTGTCCTTGATAATGCTGTTCTGTATAAATCTGTTTGCTATGATTCTATAGCTTTTTTAAGAATTAAAATTTTAGGGCTTTACCTTTATTGTTGCTTGATAGCATATCTGCAGGGTTAATTTAATTTTGGTTTTGAAGGTCTTTTTCTGGTAGATAGTTATATTAATTTGCATATTGGTAAAATAAAGTATATTGTTGCTATAACAGAAATGTCAGTCTCTCCTACCTATCAACAGTATATCATCACAAGTGTTTTTAATTCCTAAATAATCATTTGTTCAATACAAACCCCCCATTAATGTCAGAGTTAAAATATTTAAGCATTTTATCTGCAGTGGTCAGAAAAAGCAGAACAAATTAAGCAAGTTTTGAAACACTCTTCAACCTCAAAGGAATGCAATTGTTAGATTGCCACCTGTCTATGCTGCACAAGGCCAGTGTGCTCTTGCACTCTTTTCACTGTCGTCTACCTCTAGTGTGACTCCCATAGATTTGGCCATATGGGAACAGAAACGTAGGCTGGACTAGTATTTTTACTGTTATTTCGTGTTCCAGTTAGCTTCAGATGACTAGTAACACGCCTGCCTGTGGCTCCACTACCACCTACAGCAATGGCAGAGTGCCAGTAAAGCTGGAACATAAGTTGGAGAACTAATGAAAATGTGCAGCCTAGGATGAGCCGGCTGCTCCAATTCTGCTCATGAACCTGTAGACATATCTGGTGTAATATGTGGAAAATAGTGTCCTCATTACTATGATGGGATACTTCAAAATTTTGTCACATTTTTTATTTGTGGCGTTATTTTACAGTATATATATATGATTAGGACAGTAAGTTGACACTTGGTAGTCCATAAAGAGGTAAGATTTGGGTGTTTTGCAGTTTTTTGCTGTTGTGGAAATATTCAGAACTAAGGAACAGTTGCCTAAAGAGTTTGGAAAACACTCAGTGGTTGAACTCCATCTGTCTAGTTTGGCAAGGATTAACTTGTTATCATCTCTCAGCTGTTTGGTGACCTGTGGAAAATCAGATGGTGGGCTTGATCCCTTTCCTAGGAGACAGTAATCAATATTGTGAAAGTAACTCACCAATTAGCACCACTGGCTGTCTCTTCAGAGACGCTTCAATTTGAGTGTAGGTGGAAATCAATCTATACTCAGGACAGGGTTGAATCATTTACAAGAAATTATGTTTAATGCTCTCAGTAATCTAAACACACAGACAACATCACTTTTTAGGGCTGTCAGTCCAACAATTTTTGTAAAGACTAAACTTAGGCAAAGCAAAATTTTGGCTTTAAAGAGAGTAACATTTCTTCAGAAACGTTGCTTTCAGGCTTGGTTTGTCAAGGAGCAGACATGAAAAAACTTCTTTAACAGAGCATTTCTGATTTCTTTGCTGAGCAGCATTTGTGCTGGTAGAGGTTAAGTGTATAGGATCATATGTCTTAGCCCAGTTTCAGGACTACAGTTTCTAACAGCACTTGACTTTCTGTCTGTGGAAACGTGCACTTTGTTATGAAGTGGATAGCTGCAATATGTATTTGTCTGTGTTGCATACTGATACTCTGCAGACAGAGTAAAGATTTTCTGGAATTCACAAGATAAGGAGAGATACAGTCATTTACCCCAACTTCCATTTTTACTCTGATTCTGAACTGAATTCTAAACTGAATTAACTAGCTGCTACAATACAAAACCAATTAATCTTTAAAAACTTAATGATGAACATGTAAGAAGTTATAATTAATGTTGAGAATTACTCAGCACTACTCTCCATTTCCCAGAAACCTCCAGAAAGGTCTTTCTGTCTTCACATCCTGCATAGGCAGGGTCTGTCTAGCACATCGTCATAATCATCATTGTTGCCAGTTTTAGTGAAAGTTAAATTGCTTTCTAGCCCTTTGAGAAACTTTGAGAAAAGCAAGGTCAATGAGTAAGTTATGGTGCAGTTTGAAATTTCAGATTCTTTTGGTGCACCTAGTTCTGCAGTGGATCTTGGCAAGGGCAAATAGATGGGAACAATTATGTGAGGTGAATTTGGGAAGCTGACTGGTGGTAAATTCACGATGTCACAATGACCAGGAGCAATTTAAGGTAGGCTAGGGGTCTTGGTGGGTCAAGGAAAATCTGCAGGATGTCTTACAAACTTTGAAGTGCTAGCCAAATTACTGACGAAATCTCAGGCAGCGCCCTCTCTCCCACGCTACTTAGCTTCATCCTCCTGTCCCAAAAACGCCTTCCTTTCAGATACCCTTCCTTCAGGAGACCATCTTGATTCTCTGCAACTTACCTCCTATTTTCCAGAAATGCCACAGGAGTCCAGACTTTATTCTGGCAGGACTCCTAAATGCCAAAGAATCTCCTGTGGATTCTGAATTTGTACTGAAGGAAAGATCAAGACACACAAAGCTACTGAGGAGACATCCTGTGAAGCTGTTCACAGAGAAACACTGTTTTAACTGAGGGGCTTAGTGAAGTAGAGGGAGGTTGTGGAGCCAGTACTATAAAAAACAGTTTCTGTATAGTTATGAAGCCATGATAGCTCCAAATTGTTAACTGAAATCCCCTTTGCACTGCCAAAGTTTGATGCTGCAGCTGTCCACCGCGACATTCAAGGGGGATGGAGGAGGATCCAGTTCTGTTTTCTGACTACCTGTCCACCAAAGGGAGCGCAGGACTGGCTGTGTCATTGAACCCAATCTTCTGTAATTGCGGGCAATCTCACAATAGATGTGAAATGTAGATAGGCCCATACAACATCTGTTCTACAACAGCATGCACCGTATATAAGATTCCAAGATTTTCCAATATCTTCATGAAAACAACTAGTTAGAAGTACAGGAAGAAGACAGGAGAGACAAAGGCATTGCCAATGTCCCTACATCCCTAAAAAAAAGAAAAGAGTTAAATAAAGTCTGCAGAACATCCTTCATAATACAGCAGCCAAAACCCCCACAAAACTCCCCCAAAAATATCAACAGTGAAAAGCTGTGCAGAGTACCAGATTTTCCTATCTCAACACACCCTAGGTCTGAACAATAGTTTAAAATGAGTCCTAAGAGGTACAAGTCTGTAGTTCACAGGTAGACAGAATCCTGGATAATGCCCACAAAAGCGACAGTCTCTTGCAAGTTGAAGTGACATCTTTTCTGCTGCTGGCAGATCCTCAGTATCCACTGAAGACTGAGGCTGACATACCCAGAGAAGGGTATTTGACCCCACTACACACTGACAATGAACATGATGACAGTGCCTAAGGCAGCCTTGGTAAAATTTACATGAGTAGAAAGCAAAGATCCATCACTATAGGAGAAACAGCTGTGGGAGGTGAGTCCTAGGTAAGAGAATATGTTAAGCTATAAAGAGAGAAGTACGATACCACACAAAAGAATAAGATATACATGAAAAAATCAAGGCAGTTTGTGGACAGCTTCAGAGAAATTAATTCTATTTATGCTGAGCTCACAGGCTGCCTCTGTCCCAGGGCTCTCCTAAAGAACCTGTCCAGCACAATTGCTTTCCCACTGACTGACAAAATCTTCATAAGTAACATTCTGAAAAACTGCAAAGTAAAGCCTTAATTCTTTTTTGAAGTCAACAAATAGTTTTATTTCGGGGAAAAAAAACATAAACAGTCACTGTAAGATCCAGAGGAACACTTAAAAATTCAAAGGAGATGATTCTTTTCAAAAAGGAGAAAACGTATAGAAATACACAGAACTTTAATTCTGCTGATGTGTAGCCAGTAATAAAAGTCGGACTGCAAAATATGAACAGTACGCTAGTTTAGCAGTTACTTGCAAAAGAAAATTATATTAATTTATTATCACAATCTTAATTTCTTGTCGTACGCTCTGGTGTTACTGAAGTGAAACAGCACTGGTTGTTTGACTGCCATACGTGGCACAGAGTAAGGATAAACTTCGCTACTTTGTGAATCACAGCTGTGCACTCTGGAGACAGCAGCTGTGCATGTACACACAGTCAAGATACAAAA